TACTTACAATTTGTAAGGTAGTTTGAGGTTATGCTGAGTAGTTTTTTGTTAAGTTATGAAATGAAATTGATGCATCTGATGAAGTACTGCACTGAAGTTGCTTCAAGAGCTATACAGCGCTGTAAGTTCATGCCCCTTAATGTGGGATACGCTGAGTCTATGAGCATATTACGCCAAAGGTTTGGAAGACCTTCAGTGATTGTAAGGAACGTATTCAAAGCTGTCAAAGGTAATGACAGTCAACTACAAGATGACTCCAAGACACTTACTGTGTTTTTAGATAATCTTATGACTTATAAGAATACCTTGATTTCTATGAATTGCATGAGTGACCTCAACTCGAGTATTATCCTAGAAGTAATAGCGAGACGCCTATCTACTCCACTGCAAAGGAATTGGGTGAAGATAAGCTCCCGTATGGAGGATAATGGTATCGAGCCAAAGTTTGATGATATTCTGAAACTAGTAAAAGATAGTGTCAATCAATCTATGAGCAAGTTCGCCAGTAAATTGAATCTCACCCCTAGAATAGAGCAGTCTGAGGGTAAAACGCAAGCATTGATGACGAAAAGGTCGCGGAGAGGTGGATATCGAGAAGGCTCCATGATGTCTAGTAATGCATATAGACTTAGTGAGTGCAACAGCTTTCGTAGTACATCCTCAACAGATAAGTTACAAGATGCAAGACAAACACGGTCGTGTTTTACACGTTTGCAAGAAGTGCGTACAAAGGTGAACTGTGAACCAGTGAGCAAGTTCAGTGATAAGCTAAATGTGAAATCAGGGTCTGACTCCGAATTGTGTGACGATAACGGTTTGGTCAGGAAGTCTGTAGTTGCAACTGGTAAGCCATTGTTGAATAGAGTGTCACAGAATAGAGTTACTGCTTCAGAGTGCAGTTCTGACTCCACAAGTTTACAAGGTATTACTAGTCAGAGTGAAGATATAAAACCTTTAAGGATTTGTGAGGGGGAACTAAAATTGTCTACTTCTGTTATTAAAGAGTTTGAAAATGATGAAATTAACGGTAAAGGGAATATTCGTGATAATGATCATGATACTTCACAGTTGTCTTTGGTTGATCATGATGAGATGAGGGATATGCCTACTACTGCTAAGTTGAACAAAGGTCCTGTACAACTTGAAGGTGAAGTAGAATTAAATGCAGATGCAGTTGCAGAAGGCATGCATACTTGTCAGACCGTCAGTGTAATTGATCAGCGTGTAGCCCACCTATCATCAGATGCTAGTGCTAAACCGGAGCTGATAGTAAAAGACAGCAGTGGTGGTAATCTTGCAGTTAGACAACTTTCTGAAAGTCGAACAACAACAACAACAACAGCTTTTGATCCACCGCTAACTTCATCAACTGGTATCAATCAGTCGTCGTTGGTGTTGTCATCCACAATGAAAAAGACGCCCATCAACTCAAGTATCTTGTGCAATGACTATGCTAGTATCAGTTCGTTTGAAAGGACGAATATCAATGGTCAGTTTAGTGAGGATAAGCCAAGTGTAAACGAGAGAGTAATTGTTAAATAGGCTTGCATGAATAAAGGCATTTCTAGTTTCATGTTACTATTTGAATGTTATTATCTTTGGTGTAAATTACTCTGTTTCTACACTTGGTTGATGAGATATGTCGTGTGTCTATTAGTCATCTATATTCTACGTTACAATGACATGGGTGTGTTACCGTTCAGATTTGAGGATATAGACGATAGAAGGAAATCAGCAAATGAACTCTGCGATGATTTTCCAACCTACAGCGTCAACCTGAGAAGGGTTGTAGGCGTACTGCTGTAAGTCGTACAATTCTTCAAAGGGTAGCGCATCAAGACTCGATCTGGGAGTTTGTGTGTACTGTTTGTATATATGTGTGGTGTGTCATATCAATTGGTGTTTTTTGGATTAATTGTGTTTACTCGTTGTTTTCGTACCGTGTTGTTATTGCGTAATTTTGTTAAAATTTTCGTCATGATTACTTCTGAAGTTGTTTCGAGTCTTCTACATTCGTGAATGAATTGATTGATGTTAGAGACAGCAGATGGGTCGTATACGCCGAGGAGGCTAGGCTATTGCTGAGAATGAAATGCACACGGATATAATTGTTAGCTGCGGTCGCACACGCCGGGGAGAACTAGTGTATACGGCTGAGGCTTGCATACGTCACCGTTACTAGAATTGAGGCAGAATGAGTGACAAGCGATTTCAGTGGTACTTGGTAGTGAGTAGATAAGAGGATGTGCGACGAGTATCATGAGGTGCTGCTATGGTCACGTTGCATTCTGCAAGAGTCATTCTAGCAAGTGGCGATTGTGTTGCAAGATGTCAAGAGGACGTCTCTTTCTGGAGGCGCATGTCGTCATTGATGTGTGAGATTGTGCTGTGGGTATGCTTGTGGTGTGTAGGCTTTTCTGTTTGTTTTCCATTTCAGCTCTGTCTGTGTGACCCAGGTTCTCGCCATGGCATCCAAGTCAACGTGCATTGGTCATGAAGGAAAAAAGGGATGGATCCCTTTTTTTCCGGGGAGTGTCAATGTAGTTGAAGATTGAACGATCAAGACCAACTTCCCCAATTTTCGTGGAGGCATCAATACACCAGTCGAGTAGCCAAACTGGGTTCTGGATTTTGCATGCGTTATTACTAAGCGTTTCTGAAAGTCTTCGAGGGCCAGCGAGAAGCCCTGCATCGCAAAAGCTGGGCATTAACAGTTTATGAGACGTGACTGACAACATGTATGATGAAAGGGAACTAAAATAAGGATGGCAGTTGTAGGAATGAGCCTGTTGTTATATCCTTCTTTGAAATATCATTTTTCTCATGGTTTAGTTTTAGTGTAAGGTGAATGGAATTCGATCTACATACCGACGTACAGCAGTTGTTATATGGCTACTTGATGAACATCTAATCCATGCAGAAAGCGCAGAAGATTTAGTACAACATGCACACTCCTGATTTCACAATGAAGCATGCATGCAAAACGCATTACTTTAGGGGCCTACACAGTTCACAAATTTATATTTTTCCTTACTGAGCTTGGTATGGTGAACCTTGTGTGGTAACTTTCTTCTGCAGAAGAGAAGAGCAAAGTATTCATAATCTTTTGCTACATGTGGAAAGGCAGTGCAACTCGATGCGCAATAGTACATATGCGAATAAAATGAAAAATAATGTCCTCTTTACCTTCTGAACAACTTGTCCTTATTCCAGGATAACTACTTTCTTTCATCTATGAGCCTAAGTTATGTCCATGAAATCGCAATATTACATCAATTAAATCTTCCCCCAAAACCAAGGCAACTTGAAACTCATAGCAACATAGCAACAAGCATCATAGCGGAGATATGCCAGAAAGCCACTCGCTTAGACCAATATGGCTAACATTTAACGCTGCAAATGTATACTGTCATTCCAAGAAGTCTCCACCTCCTTCTCGAATATATCTTGTGAATGTACTTCCAATGATATATTATCCATAATTGTATTAGATACCATTTCACAGCCCCTCAGACCTTCTCCTCTTACGCAAATAGCTCTTAATGATGTGGCGGCATGGCACTTACCCAGATATACTCTGTTCACTGGTTGACTATAATTATCAACTAGAAACGGAAGGAAATTTGGGTTTTCGCTCAACTTTGATGGTGACCGCAGTAAAGGGTTTACAATTTACTATTTTTAGGAACCTATTCTGATTGCCTGTACTATAAATGAACAATTAAAACTTTTGAAAAAGTATTAATTTATGATACTTCAGGATTTTAATTTATGACATAAATGATCGTGCCTGTAAGAATGGCATGCATTTTTAGTAAACTTACCTGTTTATACGAAATAAAAATTATTAGTAGTACCAGTGGGGGTGGGAGTGGGGTAAAACACGTGTATTGATTAACATGAAATTTAAGAATGATGAAGCTGGAGAGATAATCCAAAAACAGTTTAATATATCGGTGGCTAGGACACTTCCTGAAGCTAAACTGTCTGATATGCACGAAGAGTCATCTTACCGACTTTATGCCTAACTCTACACCACCTTTAAAGAACAAAAAGAAGGGACCATGACAAGTCTTCTGAGCACATGTGGAAAGTTTAACATTTAGAGGAAGTAATTCTTTGAGCAGTGCAGTGACGTGAGATCTAATTTACACCGAGCTCCAGGCAGACATCATGAGTTCCATCAAGTTAATGGAGAATTAAGCGAGCTCAAGCCTTCTAAATTCTGTTGAGCCGTTGTTTTCAAGTGGTTTCAACTTGGTCGACGTATCCAGAAATAAGCCGAAGAAAGTCAACCTCTCTACTTTTGTAGCTTGGCTTTTAACCTTTGATTGATGATGTCATCTTTTCATTAAGTGTGAGTGACGAATTCTTTTCGTTCTCTTTCAGTTTTTCTTACGCCCGGCAAACTTTAAACTTATAGTCAAAAACTTATTTTATTCCTTATCTTGTACTTTATCAATCTTTTTGTTCTTGTTCTACTGGGCAGACACTGTTGCTATCTCTTATTCATATGTAACAAAAGTTAAAGTAGTTGTTAATTAGGCTGCTTAAAGTGGCTTTAAAAAAGAACTAAAATACCATATTCTGTAGTCATGAGGGCTTCAGCCAGAGGAGGCACTAACCCCATCTGGCATACCGATTCTAAAGACCCGTGTGCATATTCCCTGTTCTGATACTGTGCCTACATTGCCATAGTTCAGCACTGAAAATGCACAAGCAAAAAAAAGTGGAAATAATTCTAAACGTGTATCCATTACAAGCCATTGCGCGACACAAAGCAAAACAAAAAGAAACGCTCAAGACGTCATCAGACCTCAAAAGAGTCATCTAGAGAAGGAGACGAATGTCAGGATTATAGTTTTGTAGTTTCTAAAACTGATTCAGCATTTTAATGCAATTTTTACGGATGATGGGTACACTGCCGTTGTGACAAAGGTGTGTCAATGTAGTTGAAGAATGAACGTTCAATTCACGGTTGTTTAGTCAAATCCAGCTACATATTATGGCGGAGTCACCGACACTGCAGTCATCGCCCCATCGTTCGTTGATCGTTAAAAGGCGGAGGGATGCTATCTATCAGAAGTATTATTGTGATTAATTGTTATGAATTTTATTTTTAGACTTTACGTATGATAACGTTACTGTTGGTTCCATATCGGTGCAAGAATAAAGGATTCCCGTGTCACCAATCTGTGTTCTGGTTGTTCGCGTTCGTTATTGCTGAAGGTCTTCTGAGGACAGCGCTAAGTCCAATGTAATTAGACCTGGACATTGACAGCTTCTGATATCTCCTGGAATTATTCGTAGTGTTTGCCGGCTACTCGTCTATCCTCGCGTCTTCAGGTCTCCTTTGGACGAGTGTTATTTGGAACTTCTCTGGATCGTCTGGTAACGTTCAATAATGCCTGGGCCAGAAAAAAGACGGAGCGCCTTGGAAGCATTTAGGAAAGTAAGTAATGATGAGTTACCTGTTATTTGTGATGATGCGTATGATGCTCAGCATGATAGGATTGATGTTCATGTTTCTCCGTGTAGTGATAGTAGGAGCTTTAAGTTCCACAAGCTTGAGCCTCGGTCTTTGATGGAAACTCAGCTGACTATCCACAGTTTGTAAAGGAGTTTGAAGTCATACTGATTGGTTTTGGAGTAAATGATGAAACGAAGTTGAAGTATTTGTTGAGGTATTACACTGGAGTCTCTGTAATAGCTAGACAGCGCTGCAAGTTTATGCCACCACACGAAGGATACACTGAGGCTATGACGGTATTACGCCGAAGGTTCGGAGAGCCATTTATGATATCCTGGAGTGTTTTTGAGACCGTCGAAGGTAATAGCGCGCAGTTAAGTGATAGCTCCGAAAACTCGCTGAGTGTTTGGGTAATTTAATAGTGTATAGATATACTCTCGTTTATCTTGATTGTGTGAAGGAACTGAACTCGAGTTCTGTGCTTGAGGCAATCGCTAAGAGATTACGCGTTCGCTTACAAAGAAAGTTCATAGTAGTCAGCTCCTGTTCAGAAAAGGAAGGTTTTAGAGCCAGGGTTCGACGCTATACTGATATTAGTGACAGATGATGTTAATCAGACTATGAGTATATTCACCAGTATGGAGCACCCGACTTCTGAAACTGAGAGGTCAGCGAGTAAGACAAAGTTATTTGTGACGACAGGTTCTCAAAGCATTGCATGTTCAGAGAAGTGTGCTATCTGTGGCGACGTACACGTTCTTAGTGAGTGTGCTCGTTTCCTTCAAATGTCTCCGAAGAAAGTTACAAATTGTGAAAAGGAAACGGTTATGCTTCTGCTGCTTTTAAAGAACGGGCATACAAGGCTTACCTGTAAGACAGCTGAGAATGGTGGTAGTGGTACATTAGGACAACGTCCACTGTTGACCGTATCGAAGAATCAAGGGAGCTCTACTACTTGTAATAGCAGCTTTGCGCCGCACGACTTCCAGAAAGTCTATTTAGGTTTTGTACCGGTAAGAGTAAGAGAACCAAGGTCATGTGTCGATACATATGCGTTGCTAGATAATGATTCTGACATAACATTGATAGATGATGAGCTGGCCAGCTGCTTGAGTGAAGTATCGTTGGATACTTTCTATTTCTACTCTCGCCGACCATGCACATGGTCCAGGGTTCGAGCCCGCGCCGACGCACACCTGATATCTATGATTGGCCTGCGAAATTTGGGCTACCGATATCCACGCTGAAAATTCCACACTTGTACCAAAAATACAGTGTGGAGTCAAGCTGTTATCGAAAATAAAAATAAAAAAATAAATATTTTAAGCCTGTCACATATGCAAGTGCTGCTGAGAATGAATGGACAATATTCTAGCAGTGGTCTTACACATGTTTTGTATAAGTTTCGCTTCGTAGTTGTGGGAATTCCTGAGAGCATCCTCGATTCAGGCGTCTGCGTTCCCACTTGCTCAGAAAATGTCAGGTCAGTAGAGTACCTGAGTCCTAGGTCAACAACACTTTGGAGTTTAGGCAAGTCAATAGATTCAAGTTCCAGTTTGATATTTATTGAGGGTGCACCGAAACAGTTCCAACCACATATGTTAAGGTTGAATTTTACGTTCCATGTGGAGGACCATGCAGTTACTCTGTCTAGTTCTTTCTGAACAGCATTCTGAAAGTATCCTAAGCCAGCACAGTGGAACGTGTAAGCTACTTTAAGATCATCTGCGAAGATGGACTGTTCACCAAGCGAGAAACAACTGCATATGTCGTTGACATCTAGAGTGAATAGGAGGGCGCCTAAGACGCTACACCAGGTGTGAATGGACTAGGTTTAGAGTTTACAGACCCCAGTCCAACTACTTGGGATCTATTGTTAGGGAATGATTCAAGCCATCCTAATAATGGGTTACATATTCCTAAGGAGTTCAGCTTATTTATTAGAAGCAAATGGTCAACGCGGTCGAAGGCTTTGGAGATGTCAAAGTAGATGATGACTAGTATTAGTTATTGTCTGCCTCGGCTACTGATTATATAGTTAAAGAAGTCAAGGTGACAGGTCATGCATGGTCTGGATTTTAGGAATCCATGTTGATTGGGACTTACAGTACTGCAGCTGAGCGTACTTTTGAGAATATCACCCCTAACTATTCCTTCCATAATTCCAGATGCTATGGGTGTAATATTGGTTGGCCTATAGTAGTTGACTTCAGTTTTCGATCCGCATTTGTGTTTGGATATTATAAATGTGGTTTTCCATTTGTCTGCATAGGTTTTGCTATCTAGCAACATTGTAAAGATCTTTAGTAATAATAATAAGATGTCAGAACCACTGTGTTTATAAAAATACGATGGTATACCGTCAATACCAGCACTACTAGAGCTTTTAAGACTAAGCCATTAATGGTTTGGTTAATATTAGAATAAGTGAAATGAACTGTACTGATATGTTTCAGCGCTGAAGAAGAAGGGAGTTCCATTGTAGATTGTAAACCGAGAAGTGGGCTTATGGGCTTAAGGTAGTTAGCTGCAAACGTCTCGTTAAACAGTTCACACATGTCTGCATGGTTGCTGTATAGTTTACCCTTGTTTATAAGGAGAGAAATTCTATGGCTTTGGCGATTCATTCGTTTCTTTAGGATTTCTGGGAGAGCACATACTCTGGTGGTGCTGGCTAGTGTGGTGCATTCTTCATTTCTCATACTCAAGTTATGAGCTTGCGAGATGGAGCTAAGAGTACTAAGTATTGACCCTAGTGTACTAAAGTTGTGTCGTCTGAAGTAACTTGTTAACAGTCTCTTCAGTTTTGAGCGATCTTTTAGTTGGATAAATTGCTTTTTGAATTTTGAGACTTATTGTTTGCAGTGGGATCACAGCGTCTAAGCCTGTGTTTGAGTAATAGTAAAAGATGTCTAGAGCTTTCCAGAGGTTATCAGTATAGAAGTAGTCTCTCCATTCTGAGGATATTAACATTGATTTCACTAAAGTCCAGTCTGCCTTACTGTAGTTCCTGTGTGCTATTTGTTGTGAAGTAGGGGTAGGGGCTGCATTGCTACTTGGTGGAAGTGGCAGTGCACACAGCACTGTTTTTGTGGTGGCTCCCTGTAAACTCAGAACCTACTAGGGTTGATAGGGGACTCATATTGTGGCAGAAGATTAAGTCTAGTACGTTATTACCTCTTGTAGGCGTAGTGACAGTTTGTTTCCAGCCAAATATATCCAGTGTGCCTAAGAACTTATCAAATTTAGTTGGGCCTGTGGGTGTATCCCAGTTGATTTCAGGTAAGTTAAAGTCTCCACATAGGATCTTATGATCGTATTTTAAGGGGGATAATTGCTCCAGAGTATTAATGAGTTGGGTCTAGTAATTGCTAAAGGTGCCAGATGCTCTGTAGGTGCATCCAACTAATGCTATTGAGTTATTTAAGTGTACGTTAACTCATAGAGTCTCAGGCATGTTAAGTCTACTACTTTCTAGCTGTGATACAGTAAGTGCATTCAGAAAGTACATGAGACAACCCCCTCCCTTACCACCTTCCCTGTCACACCGTTTCCATGTTTGCCGAGCATTCTGTCGTAAAGTAAGTTTTTTTAAACATAATCAAAGTTTTAATTGCAGACACGGAATCCCCCATTGTGAAGAACTACTTATGCCGCTTAGTTCAGTGTATAAGGAAATCAGAGTAATAGTAATGCTTTTAACATTCTAATTTTTCAGATTTAATTTCTATTTCAGAGTTATAAGCAGATTGGATGTCACTGTTAGTCAATATATACAACGTCGTTGGATGAGTCGACGAGAATTGTGGGCAGCATCTTTCAGAGACAATGTACTGACTGACTTTTGGTAATGCTACTAATAATTGAGTAGAAAGTTCACACAAGCAAATGAAGCGTTACTTGCAAAGATCAGACATTCTGCATATAAGCATTCTGAATGTGTCAACAAAGTTATTCAAGAATACAGCAGGAGTCGATGATTGCTCGGTCGCGGTGCTTCACGTATTCCTGTTCAAAACGTCTAATACCAATCCTACGATTACTGACGCCATACGCCTCGAGGAAAGTGATCTGTGAATACGAAAGCGACGGTGGGCTTCTGTGAGGTTGAAGCTTTCGATTATGTCTTCTTCCAAGACAATGGAGGAGAGTAGGGGTTGATGTGCGTGCTTGTACATGCACTTGTACGACGTTTCAGACTTGTCGGTACCCCAGCCGACACTTGCTGTTGGTCCATTTCAGGAAGCCGTGTTTTACAGGTATATTTGCGTTTTTTGTATATACTTTTACGTTTAATTACACATAAGAATTACTCTGTTGTCACGTAAACTATTCGCTATTCTATGACTCCATTTGTAATGTATGTCGACCTAACCTTAGGTGTCTGAAAATCTTAGATACTGAAATTTGTAATTTTCATAACCGTATGCATGTGTACAATACCTTAACTGTAAACAGGACACAATCACTACCATCATTAATCCTATTATATTGTGTTCATAATTATCTTTAGGTTTTGTGTTCCACCTTTTGTAGTTAATCATGTGCTGCACAAGTGTCAACAATGGACGTGGTCACGCGACTCGTTCGCACCTCAAAGCACGTCAGCAGTTGTCCCTCGAAATCAATGTGACTGACCAATAGGAGGCTTATGAATGTGGACTTGACGAGAATCACTGGCAAATTTGGAGAAATGTTTGCCGCCAATTACGCAGGAGAAGTATTCGCAGGAATGGAACGTCTTCTTAATATGTAAATGAGCTATGTTTGTATCATAATAAAAATAAACTTTTCATATAAATCTTGTTGTCTTTCAATTCATGTGTTCGCTTTGTGAATTAAATTTGAATACATAATTAGCCGTCTGATTTTACGTTTTCTTTATCTCCTTTCTGTTTTTCAGTCTGAATAACCTACCTACACTGATTATATCTGTTACTGTTATTATCTGTTTTCTTCTGACGACGCCACCGGAGGACTAACTGGTGAAAGGGTCAACTCCATTCACAGTGAAAACGCCCAACTTCCAGACTAAGTGCTATAGACTGAAGAAGAGTCAACATGAAAAGTGTTGTCCTATTCGTCTTCAGTTGGAAACACCGGCAGAGACCAGAAAATTCATCCACTCCCAACACACCCTATCGTAAGCCAGAAACTACAAACTAATAAAGGTTGCGGTAGACAAGACAGTCATAGAAAGGCGCACATATAATTATCTCACTAAGCCTAATTGTGGAATAAATAATAGGAAATTGCAAGAAGCCTTTGAAAGATACGATAGGACTCACCCTCTCAAACAACATAGAATTATCCCCTCAGAGTGCGACACCAGCCGAAAGGCCACTAGATTGTAATCAAATAACTAATAAAACCATACCACCTATCACCGTAGATTTAGACATGTCAGTAAATAACCCCAGAAAAAAAGTCAAAGCCCCCCCGAAAGTCTACATTGTCCTCTCCTAGTCATAACTCCGTTGGTAAAGAGGAAACAGTTAACAAACCTATTCAAAATATGTCACTGGCACCGAGAATCAAATTCACTCATCAAATGCTTCTCAGGAAAATGTACACCATAAGGAAAATAAGACCCTAACTCATGGGAACAATAACAATGGCAGTATAAATAAGCCCACACTCCCCACGGCCAATAGTATTAGTACTCACAACGTGCGAAATCGTACCATGGCGCATACACTAATAACCAACGTCACAACAATGCCACCCTCAATAGTACAAGTGGCAATAGTCAGAACTCGGCTACCACAACAACTCAGGGTCTTCAGAGTATGGCATACAAACAAATTTTGATCGGATATATGGAAGTAACGCATTAGATGTGCAGGGATGTGTGCTATCTGTGGCGACGTACACGTTCTTAGTGAGTGTGCTCGTTTCCTTCAAATGTCTCCGAAGAAAGTTACAAATTGTGAAAAGGAAACGGTTATGCTTCTGCTGCTTTTAAAGAACGGGCATACAAGGCTTACCTGTAAGACAGCTGAGAATGGTGGTAGTGGTACATTAGGACAACGTCCACTGTTGACCGTATCGAAGAATCAAGGGAGCTCTACTACTTGTAATAGCAGCTTTGCGCCGCACGACTTCCAGAAAGTCTATTTAGGTTTTGTACCGGTAAGAGTAAGAGAACCAAGGTCATGTGTCGATACATATGCGTTGCTAGATAATGATTCTGACATAACATTGATAGATGATGAGCTGGCCAGCTGCTTGAGTGAAGTATCGTTGGATACTTTCTATTTCTACTCTCGCCGACCATGCACATGGTCCAGGGTTCGAGCCCGCGCCGACGCACACCTGATATCTATGATTGGCCTGCGAAATTTGGGCTACCGATATCCACGCTGAAAATTCCACACTTGTACCAAAAATACAGCGTGGAGTCAAGCTGTTATCGAAAATAAAAATAAAAAAATAAATATTTTAAGCCTGTCACATATGCAAGTGCTGCTGAGAATGAATGGACAATATTCTAGCAGTGGTCTTACACATGTTTTGTATAAGTTTCGCTTCGTAGTTGTGGGAGTTCCTGAGAGCATCCTCGATTCAGGCGCCTGCGTTCCCACTTGCTCAGAAAATGTCAGGTCAGTAGAGTACCTGAGTCCTAGGTCAACAACACTTTGGAGTTTAGGCAAGTCAATAGATTCAAGTTCCAGTTTGATATTTATTGAGGGTGCACCGAAACAGTTCCAACCACATATGTTAAGGTTGAATTTTACGTTCCATGTGGAGGACCATGCAGTTACTCTGTCTAGTTCTTTCTGAACAGCATTCTGAAAGTATCCTAAGCCAGCACAGCGGAACGTGTAAGCTACTTTAAGATCATCTGCGAAGATGGACTGTTCACCAAGCGAGAAACAACTGCATATGTCGTTGACATCTAGAGTGAATAGGAGGGCGCCTAAGACGCTACACCAGGTGTGAATGGACTAGGTTTAGAGTTTACAGACCCCAGTCCAACTACTTGGGATCTATTGTTAGGGAATGATTCAAGCCATCCTAATAATGGGTTACATATTCCTAAGGAGTTCAGCTTATTTATTAGAAGCAAATGGTCAACGCGGTCGAAGGCTTTGGAGATGTCAAAGTAGATGATGACTAGTATTAGTTATTGTCTGCCTCGGCTACTGATTATATAGTTAAAGAAGTCAAGGTGACAGGTCATGCATGGTCTGGATTTTAGGAATCCATGTTGATTGGGACTTACAGTACTGCAGCTGAGCGTACTTTTGAGAATATCACCCCTAACTATTCCTTCCATAATTCTAGATGCTAAGATATACAGCAGATCTCACTTTAATATCTTCTCAAATCTGTCCAAGAGAACACAGCAAAGGTGTTACTCACAAGAAAATATGCTCAAACTAAGATGTATGCTAAATGACACTAACTGGGAACTTTTCAACGAACACAAACTGGATGATACTATTTCCAATTTGACTGACTATCTTAAATTCTGTCTTGATATATGCTGTCCAAAACAGATAATTTTCAAAAGAATGGATCGTTTTTCTTCCCCTCATCTCAAAAAACTTCGTAGAGAAAAAGAGAAGCTGTACAAGACAAAGAATAAATCTGGTCTTAAGAAGATAAACACCCAAATTAAATCTGAAATCAAGAGACTAAACAACATTTATAATCAAACAATACTATCTTGTAAAACATCAGAAAACATATGGAAGCTTTTTAGAGAAATTACTGGTTGTGGTAAGCATAATAATTTTGCCTCTTCTATTGATGTAAATACTCTCAATCGATCTTTTGTCCGCCCTCCAAATGTCATTTCTGCCTTCAATTTAACTAATAACACGACCAGTGACTTTCATCGTTTCAATACATCTGATGTTCTTAAATGTTTGAAATCTCTTAAACCTTCCCAGCGTCTAGGCCCTGATGGTATACCTGCCATTGTCTTAAAGAAATGTGCTGATATTTTAAGTAACCCACTTACAAGCATTTTCAATACTTCTTTTTCTCATAATAATGTACCTTCTCTGTGGAAAGATATTAAAATCATCCCTGTACCCAAGTCTGGTTCTGGAGATAATGTTAAGTTTAGACCAATTGCCATTACCTCTCCTTTCTTGAAACTGATGGAGAAATTACTCTTACAAAAACTCATTCCCTCCCTAAGCTTCTCAAATGATCCAAAGCAGTTTGCTTACAAACAGGGTAGAAGTACTTTGGATGCTGCTGCAGTGTTTCATCACAACATTGTATCCTCCTTAGACAAAGGGGCCAAGTATGTCCGTTGTACTTTCCTTGATTACACATCTGCTTTTGACTCTGTACCTAGAGGCCTTTTGTTAAACAAGCTTAGCCTTACACAAACTGAGTCCTGGGCTATCAACTGGCTGCACTCTTACTTCTCCAATAGGATGCAGTACACGATATATAATGGTGTAGCTTCCTCTCCTTTGCTTACTGAAGCTGGTGTTCCTCAGGGTGCTGTTCTCTCGCCGTTTCTCTTTTCCTTCTTCTTACATGACTTACCTCTCTCAGACGAAATCAACTTCGTCAAATATGCAGATGACCTGACTGTTTCGCTTCCCGTTAAGTCTCAGTCAGACTGCTTCAAATTAAATAGCTTCCTGTCGGACATCAGTCAGTGGTCTAAAATAAATGGCCTAACGCTGAATCCCTCAAAATGCCAGACTGTCGACTTCTCCTTTAGGCATAAACGAGATCTACAAACACTAGTAAGCACTCATGATGTCTGTAGAATCGAGGGGACTATAATTGAAACAAAGTCTAATGCAAAATACCTCGGATTAGTTATATCTTCCGACCTTACTTGGTCATCTCATATCCAAATGATTTCCAAGAAAGTGTTTCGTCTAACCTACTACATTAAGAAACTCAGACTAACTGGAGTCCCTCAACCTCTGCTTACACAATTTGTCAACTCTCGTATCCTACCTATTCTACTTTACTGTTCCCCGTTAGTCTTTCCTGGGTTACTGAAAAAGGATTATACCATCCTGAGAAGGATGTTGAAGGTAGTTAGCAGGACTAGCGGTGTAAAACTCAGTCAGCTCGTCACAACATTAGTGGATAAGCATCTGAATACATGTGAGAAATGGTCTAAAACCATACTCTCTGACCCCCAACACCCCCTCTATTCCCAACTCTCTCCCTGCATCTCATCAAGTAGAACCAGAAATCAGTATAAAATAATATATGCTCGCACAACCAAGTATAGGAACTCAACGATACCATATTTGGCCCGTGTTCTAAGTGACAGAGACAATGTTAGACGTGAAACCTATGACTTGCTTTGTTGTTAATAACAGAATTTTGGCCCTTGTTTTTTTCCCCCTTACACTCTCTTATTTGTACTCTATAGTGAACAACCTTCTTAAACATACTTAGCTGCTTAAAATTATTATCATTGGCTTACATTTTTATTCTTTATTCTACTCCTTCTTTGTACATCTACTGGGTCCGACTATATTATCACTATGATTATTAAAAACTGTCCCGTCATTAACCATCATGTAACATTAGTTTTGTGGTTGTTCTTTGTTCGGCACTATTTAACTGACAATCTTGTTTGTTATTGCCACTATCACCATCTTAAAAATTTTGTATTATGCATGATTCCTCACACTGCCACTACAAACAACCGCATTAGTACTGACAAAAAAAAAACCTGAAATGTTTATCTTATGATTGCTTAGTGTTGTTCAATCAAATTAACTGATCATCTTGGCTATAAACATTTTTTTAAGAACATCTCATAATTTCCCGTATGATTATAGCTGTTACTGTTCACCACGCATACACATATCGTAGCCTCCACTAACTAATACTGAAATATTTTTTTTCATTATTTGTGTTCGTCTTCTTTTTTACTCAGTATTTTTATTTGCATTTTTTTTGGTTATTTCTGTTTCTTTTTTTTGGTTTTTATTATATTTTATTTTTTTTTATAATACTCCTTTTAAATGTACGATGAAATTAGATGCAATATTGTAGATATGTGCTGAAAATTCCACACTGTACCACAAGTACTGTTTCTGGAATAAAGCGAAATTGTTATGTTATGTTATGTTATGTGTAATATTGGTTGGCCTATAGTAGTTGACTTCAGTTTTCGATCCGCATTTGTGTTTGGATATTATAAATGTGGTTTTCCATTTGTCTGCATAGGTTTTGCTATCTAGCAACATTGTAAAGATCTTTAGTAATAATAATAAGATGTCAGAACCACTGTGTTTATAAAAATACGATGGTATACCGTCAATACCAGCACTACTAGAGCTTTTAAGACTAAGCCATTAATGGTTTGGTTAATATTAGAATAAGTGAAATGAACTGTACTGATATGTTTCAGCGCTGAAGAAGAAGGGAGTTCCATTGTAGATTGTAAACCGAGAAGTGGGCTTATGGGCTTAAGGTAGTTAGCTGCAAACGTCTCGTTAAACAGTTCACACATGTCTGCATGGTTGCTGTATAGTTTACCCTTGTTTATAAGGAGAGAAATTCTATGGCTTTGGCGATTCATTCGTTTCTTTAGGATTTCTGGGAGAGCACATACTCTGGTGGTGCTGGCTAGTGTGGTGCATTCTTCATTTCTCATACTCAAGTTATGAGCTTGCGAGATGGAGCTAAGAGTACTAAGTATTGACCCTAGTGTACTAAAGTTGTGTCGTCTGAAGTAACTTGTTAACAGTCTCTTCAGTTTTGAGCGATCTTTTAGTTGGATAAATTGCTTTTTGAATTTTGAGACTTATTGTTTGCAGTGGGATCACAGCGTCTAAGCCTGTGTTTGAGTAATAGTAAAAGATGTCTAGAGCTTTCCAGAGGTTATCAGTATAGAAGTAGTCTCTCCATTCTGAGGATATTAACATTGATTTCACTAAAGTCCAGTCTGCCTTACTGTAGTTCCTGTGTGCTATTTGTTGTGAAGTAGGGGTAGGGGCTGCATTGCTACTTGGTGGAAGTGGCAGTGCACACAGCACTGTTTTTGTGGTGGCTCCCTGTAAACTCAGAACCTACTAGGGTTGATAGGGGACTCATATTGTGGCAGAAGATTAAGTCTAGTACGTTATTACCTCTTGTAGGCGTAGTGACAGTTTGTTTCCAGCCAAATATATCCAGTGTGCCTAAGAACTTATCAAATTTAGTTGGGCCTGTGGGTGTATCCCAGTTGATTTCAGGTAAGTTAAAGTCTCCACATAGGATCTTATGATCGTATTTTAAGGGGGATAATTGCTCCAGAGTATTAATGAGTTGGGTCTAGTAATTGCTAAAGGTGCCAGATGCTCTGTAGGTGCATCCAACTAATGCTATTGAGTTATTTAAGTGTACGTTAACTCATAGAGTCTCAGGCATGTTAAGTCTACTACTTTCTAGCTGTGATACAGTAAGTGCATTCAGAAAGTACATGAGACAACCCCCTCCCTTACCACCTTCCCTGTCACACCGAAAGTGTGTGTAGTTATCTGAGCTTATCTCTTCACCCAGTATGTTCGAATGACACCAAGATTCAGTGATGACAATTTTAGGGGGTTTGTATATTACTGTGAGTGCTCTGAGCATCGACAGTTTATTTAGAACAGATCTAGCATTTATGAGGATTAGGTAAAGATGAGAGTTGAAATAGCGTTTGAAGTATTTAAGTTCGTTAACCAGCCCCGAATATGGTTCAGCACCTAGCAGTTCTGCTTGATATGACGACCCTATGTTAAGAGGAGTTTCAACATCATGCTCACCTATGTCTATCGAGTTGGTGTGTGTTGTTTTCGGTGAGGAATAAGGAGTTGGAGTACTACTAGATTTGCTATAGACTAAGGCATTTTTATTTCTAGTTAGGCTAGAAACGTGTGTACGGCTCTTGATTTGACCCATACTTAGGCAAGTATCAAGTGTGCTTAATGGATGCGGGTGCACTAGACTGTTCCTGTTTTCATACAAGGAAGGAGCCAGCACTAGTGGTTTAGAAGTGTTAACATCCCTACCAGCCGTACTTTCAACACTGGCAGGGACGCCGGGGATAAAAAATGATTGGATCCTTGTGATGATCATGATTTATTATCCCACCTATTGTTTGATACTAGCTGTGTTCTTGTATGGGTTTCCTGCATACTGCATTGTGGGTTAGTTCCCAGCAGACTTGTACCATATATCCGATCAAAATTTGTTTGTATGCCATACTCTGAAGACCCTGAGTTGTTGTGGTAGCCGAGTTCTGACTATTGCCACTTGTACTATTGAGGGTGGCATTGTTGTGACGTTGGTTATTAGTGTATGCGCCATGGTACGATTTCGCACGTTGTGAGTACTAATACTATTGGCCGTGGGGAGTGTGGGCTTATTTATACTGCCATTGTTATTGTTCCCATGAGTTAGGGTCTTATTTTCCTTATGGTGTACATTTTCCTGAGAAGCATTTGATGAGTGAATTTGATTCTCGGTGCCAGTGACATATTTTGAATAGGTTTGTTAACTGTTTCCTCTTTACCAACGGAGTTATGACTAGGAGAGGACAATGTAGACTTTCGGGGGGGCTTTGACTTTTTTTCTGGGGTTATTTACTGACATGTCTAAATCTACGGTGATAGGTGGTATGGTTTTATTAGTTATTTGATTACAATCTAGTGGCCTTTCGGCTGGTGTCGCACTCTGAGGGGATAATTCTATGTTGTTTGAGAGGGTGAGTCCTATCGTATCTTTCAAAGGCTTCTTGCAATTTCCTATTATTTATTCCACAATTAGGCTTAGTGAGATAATTATATGTGCGCCTTTCTATGACTGTCTTGTCTACCGCAACCTTTATTAGTTTGTAGTTTCTGGCTTACGATAGGGTGTGTTGGGAGTGGATGAATTTTCTGGTCTCTGCCGGTGTTTCCAACTGAAGACGAATAGGACAACACTTTTCATGTTGACTCTTCTTCAGTCTATAGCACTTAGTCTGGAAGTTGGGCGTTTTCACTGTGAATGGAGTTGACCCTTTCACCAGTTAGTCCTCCGGTGACGTCGTCAGAAGAAAACAGATAATAACAGTAACAGATATAATCAGTGTAGGTAGGTTATTCAGACTGAAAAACAGAAAGGAGATAAAGAAAACGTAAAATCAGACGGCTAATTATGTATTCAAATTTAATTCACAAAGCGAACACATGAATTGAAAGACAACAAGATTTATATGAAAAGTTTATTTTTATTATGATACAAACATAGCTCATTTACATATTAAGAAGACGTTCCATTCCTGCGAATACTTCTCCTGCGTAATTGGCGGCAAACATTTCTCCAAATTTGCCAGTGATTCTTGTCAAGTCCACATTCATAAGCCTCCTATTGGTCACATTGATTTCGAGGGACAACTGCTGACGTGCTTTGAGGTGCGAACGAGTCGCGTGACCACGTCCATTGTTGACACTTGTGCAGCACATGATTAACTACAAAAGGTGGAACACAAAACCTAAAGATAATTATGAACACAATATAATAGGATTAATGATGGTAGTGATTGTGTCCTGTTTACAGTTAAGGTATTGTACACATGCATACGGTTATGAAAATTACAAATTTCAGTATCTAAGATTTTCAGACACCTAAGGTTAGGTCGACATACATTACAAATGGAGTCATAGAATAGCGAATAGTTTACGTGACAACAGAGTAATTCTTATGTGTAATTAAACGTAAAAGTATATACAAAAAACGCAAATATACCTGTAAAACACGGCTTCCTGAAATGGACCAACAGCAAGTGTCGGCTGGGGTACCGACAAGTCTGAAACGTCGTACAAGTGCATGTACAAGCACGCACATCAACCCCTACTCTCCTCCCATTGTCTTGGAAGAAGACATAATCGAAAGCTTCAACCTCAACAGAAGCCCACCGTCGCTTTTCGTATTCACGGATCACTTTCCTCGAGGCGTATGGCGTCAGTAATCGTAGGATTGGTATTAGACGTTTTGAACAGGAATACGTGAAGCACCGCGACCGAGCAATCATCGACTCCTGCTGTATTCTTGAATAACTTTGTTGACACCATTCAGAATGCTTATATGCAGAATGTCTGATCTTTGCAAGTAACGCTTCATTTGCTTGTGTGAACTTTCTACTCAATTATTAGTAGCATTACCAAAAGTCAGTCAGTACATGGTCTCTGAAAGATGCTGCCCACAATTCTCGTCGACTCATCCAACGACGTTGTATATATTGACTAACAGTGACATCCAATCTGCTTATAACTCTGAAATAGAAATTAAATCTGAAAAATTAGAATGTTAAAAGCATTACTATTACTCTGATTTCCTTTTACACTGAACTAAGCGGCATAAGTAGTTCTTCACAATGGGGGGATTCCGTGTCTGCAATTAAAACTTTGATTATGTTTAAAAAAACTTACTTTACGACAGAATGCTCGGCAAACATGGAAAGAACATTGTTCTGTGTTCATTTGTCTGAACACATAGCAATGTTCTTTCCATGTTTGCCGAGCATTCTGTCGTAAAGTAAGTTTTTTTAAACATAATCAAAGTTTTAATTGCAGACACGGAATCCCCCCATTGTGAAGAACTACTTATGCCGCTTAGTTCAGTGTAAAAGGAAATCAGAGTAATAGTAATGCTTTTAACATTCTAATTTTTCAGATTTAATTTCTATTTCAGAGTTATAAGCAGATTGGATGTCACTGTTAGTCAATATATACAACGTCGTTGGATGAGTCGACGAGAATTGTGGGCAGCATCTTTCAGAGACCATGTACTGACTGACTTTTGGTAATGCTACTAATAATTGAGTAGAAAGTTCACACAAGCAAATGAAGCGTTACTTGCAAAGATCAGACATTCTGCATATAAGCATTCTGAATGGTGTCAACAAAGTTATTCAAGAATACAGCAGGAGTCGATGATTGCTCGGTCGCGGTGCTTCACGTATTCCTGTTCAAAACGTCTAATACCAATCCTACGATTACTGACGCCATACGCCTCGAGGAAAGTGATCCGTGAATACGAAAAGCGACGGTGGGCTTCTGTTGAGGTTGAAGCTTTCGATTATGTCTTCTTCCAAGACAATGGGAGGAGAGTA